GGCGTATATTTGTTTTCATATGGAGTTAACAATATCGAAGAGCTTCTCAGAAAAGGTAACAAAGACCACGCAAGATCCTTTCATATGTTGTCCCAAAGTACCAAGAAGGTTGTTTAAAACGTGGTTCGTATATACCCTTCCACCTTTTTAATTTTTAAACCAAAGATACTACAGATTCTTCTACATCAGCCACCCATTCGAACCTTACTTACAACATGACCAACAGGGACGAATTATTACTTAGCTGTACTATAAACGGGACAATTTCGAATTACCAATAGTGAACGTTCCCTTTCTTCACAGTAGCCTCTCTGCATTTCCTCCTGTGATGTTTACATGTCGCAGTTGATTCGACATTCACGGGCTTACTCAAAAGACCAACGACTTCTTCTATAGTTGACGAATGCTAACTGACAAACATACAACTAAGGGCTCGAAATTAAAGGTGTTGAAGAACTTTTATGCTCGCCAACATGACCTTGTTGAACAAATATTTTGTTTCCTTGACCTATGGTGGATGTGTTTGATTATGCTCATTAGTGTGTCTTGTGGTTTCGTTGTCACTGCCTCGGTTCTGTCTTTTAGAGCATAGCATTACCTAGAGTGTACGTCTGTTTAAACGCCAGCTGTCGTCGATAAAACAAAGTCGCTTACTCTATATCTACCGGGACACATGTTCTTACTCCCTTCAAACTTTCTCACGTGTCTCCGATTTGAGTTTGATTTTGTTTACTTCGGTATTTTCTTGTTTTCTATTCATCCTGATTATGATGCAAGGCAAATCCACGTAGGTAAAATGGTATTTACACAAAGAAATATCCTTTATCGTTACTAATTGAGATTTTGTCGATGTTTATGGGGATCAGTTTCATATTCATACTAATGATAAGAAATGTATTGACCTCATCGATCGTATGAACCATCCTGAACTTGAATTCAACGACTATTAAGTCTCTTCACCATCGACTTTCCTCGATCTTCACTTTAAACATGACCCAATGGAACGGCTACCTTCGAAGTTGTACAGTAAGCGTGTTTATTACAATGACCCAAACGAGAACTTTCACTTTCTTGATACTAACATCAAAAGAAAAGGTTTTAAGCTCTTTACAAATAATCATTGTGTTGACATTCTCCAATGTACATATAACTGGCATACTGTTGTAAATTGTATTTTGTACATTGTGTATGTTTAAATTGTATATATATATATATATATATGGGATTTTACCGTCTATATTACTTCTTTGACACAAACATATATATAAATTAGAAATGGCGAGCTTTGACCCTCTGGTAATAAGTATTCATGTTAACGTGATGGATGACGTAAAACTTGAAGCAAAGATGACGTTTGTTTGTATGGAGTCATTACTCCATCAATCAAAACAATAATACATAATATCAAAAAATATACGTGAATGCATCACAGGTTGGGTTGGTGTATTGTTTCAGAAAATGTGACGGACATTCCTTTGTCGCTTTGTCCTACTGGCGCGAGCCTTCCTAAAGAACACTCGCATGCCTGGTGAAATCAATATGACCCTCTATTTCCAGACCTAATCACAGACAGATTCGTCTCTCGTACTCAGACCTTACTTGCTATCAGGAATATAACGACCCCGGTACCCCTCGTACTCAGTCCTTACTTGGTATCAGGAACATGACGACCAACGGTATCCCTCGTACTCAGACATTACTTGTTATCAGGAATATATCGACCCCCGGTACCCCTCGTACTCAGCCCTTACTTGTTATCAGAAGTATGACGACCCCGGTACCCCTCGTACTCAGCCCTTACTTGTTATCAGAAGGATGACGACCCCGGTACCCCTCGGACTGAGCCCTTACTTGTTATCAGAAGTATGACGACCCCGGTACCCCTCGTACTCAGCCCTTACTTGTTATCAGAAGTATGACGACATCCGGTACCAACGTACTCAGCCCTTACTTGTTATCAGGAATATAACAACCACCGGTATCCCGCATATGTACGGCTTCCGGTACCCCTCGTACTTATACATTACTTGCTATCAAGAACAGGTCAACCTCCGGTACCCCTCGTACTTATACATTACTTGCTATCAAGAACAGGTCAACCTCCGGTATCCCTCGTTCTCGGACCTCATTTCATCAAGAGTAAGATCTGGTATTTGACGACCCCCGGTACTACGTTTACGAATACTCGAGATATCGCGTGTTCTTTTAATTCCGGTTTCACACAATCCATCAGTCCTACACGGGAGAGACATTTGTAGATGACACAGGATCTGTAATATGGCTAAATTGTCTTAAATAAGAGGACAACTGTTATCATGTTTTGAAGCGATACATCATCATTCACTGGTATGGGATGGTGGGTAATTATTGTACAGCTTATGTACTGTATCTATGTAAAGCAATGACAACCGCATCAACATCGATGATTCAAATGCGATATATGGTAGACTTATAGTTGCAACTAAGCATGTTTCTTCGTGAAAGAAAACAGCATCACAAATAACAACATCTAATCAGGTGAGATACGTGTGATCGATCATCTGTATTCTCCCTTGTAGATATAATTCCAGCAGTCAGATATGCCTGTTCTGTCCATGATCCTCGTACACAGCATCAATATCTGACATCGATATCGAACGGAAACAAAGAAATCAACATTCTGAAACGTCTTTCTTCGAAGCATCCGACATTTAAGTTTTTGTTTTGCTATATTTTTATTTATTTTTTATAATGAAGGTTTTCATCCATAGTGCATTATATGTTTAGTGTCAAATTTTATCTAATACTTAAAAAGATCATCAATTTTTTTATTTTGCTATATTTTCACATTATTTTATTATGAAGATTTTCATCCATAGTGCAAATTGTATATTTAGTGTCAAAGTTAAGCAAATACTTAGCAGAGATTAATATCAAATGGTTAAGGATTATTGATCTTTACAATATGCAAAAGGAAAGAAGTAATTATCACTGAATTAGTAATTAACTATACTGCTGTCGGTCCTTTCATGTGCTTACTCTAGAGGCCTTTGACATCTTTACGTTCTAGTAAAATGTTATAATGAATCGTCAGTGACAACGACATTCCTCCAGGGACAGCCCTACGTGACCTTAAAGTTCTTACGATACTCCCACGTTTTTCGAGGCCGGAGATGAATGACACTGTCCAAGCTGCACTCATAGTCAAATGAACATTTTTGTTCTTGTTTCCTTTATATGGGACTTGATGCGACACTGTAAATAAAAGTATTTGTAATTAATATTACAATTGAACTGTGGGTATCGTGCTACAACCTACTAGTGCAGCAGCTTACGTCTAAATTCAGAATAACAAATTATCTCGTATAAGGTTAAACATTGATCAATGCATTGTGTTCAAGTCAACATAGAATTTTACAATATTTTAGGACATATAATTGATATCTCATTATAAACTGTTTTGGTTTGTTTTCCATGTTATTAAAATCAATCAAAAGAGAAAGTTTAACATTTCTGTGTAGGGTTTCAAGCCATATGAATAACGAATATCATAAACGGGAAATATGATCCTTCTACGAGGAATCATCAGTTAAATTTCAAGCCTTTGTTCGTATGTAAGAAGTCATTGGCTCAACCCTTTTATGTCTTTTCTAGTAAAATGCTTTATTAGTGATAAAAAAAATAATTCAGAACACTTAACAAATATATATGTTTGACAAGAAATGCGTACCAGTCTCCGAATATATATGTTTAACAAGAAAAACGTATCACTCTCCGAATATGTATGTTTGACAAGAAATTCGCACCAGTCTCGTAAACCATTTCTTCGTCTCGCCTGAATACGTGTCGCAAGACCAACATGGAGTTGCTTGTCACAGCAGACTACGATAGATTTCTGGCCTCTGGTTTCTCTGTTGAGTTTAGGAGTCGATGATCCGTCTGCCTAGCTGCCGCTCCATACTCTTCGTCTCCTGGCCTCTCTACACTGTATAATCCGTTAAGTGAACGTTAATGCAAAGTCACATGATCAATGCCTAAAACAATTCATGTCTTATGACATTGATCAGCATCTTGATATATTTATTCCATATTTATCACGTAGGCCAAAGACTTAGTCTTGAAGGTTTTGAAACATGACACCGGCCATTTTCTACTTCATTGATTGACAGCAGTACCATGGTATTGGGTTTATCACTTTTTTTCATATACAAATACGCTACAAGTTGATGCTTTGATACGAGAATCAGTTCTCTTTGTATGGAGAATCTCGTCTGCTCCACTGGGAATTCCCGCCTTTTTTTCTGTTACTCTCTGTTCTATACCGTCTCCGGGTTTCCATGAATACGATTGGACGGCGACTATTTATTAACTATGTCTTTGGAAATTTGTGTCGATTCCAGTCGAGCAAGCACGGCACTGCAAGCCTGTGGTTGGTGATAATCTTGCGTTCCTAGTTAAACCTGGGTGTTTGTAACAGGCAATGTGATAAGCGGCCGTTCTAATTTGATTACTTCCTGCCATAGACATTAGTAAGGATAATGTATCAATAATGTGTGGTCCGCCTTCTGTTTTGCGCTCTATCAGTTGCTGAACGGTCAATGTTTGTCTTTCATCGATGTTAATGCCAGCATGTTATGTACCGGACATGATTTCTGTCGTGCAAGTGTAAAACTGTCTGTGTCGTCTGCCATTTGTGATGTAGTAGTAGTAGTACACGTGTGAAGAAATTGGAATTTTTCGTAAGCGAGCCGACTTGGCCTTTTTTTAGAGCTTGTGTCGAGCTAGCTGCCAGGTACATGCTGACAGGCCTGTGTAGCACTCTGTGACAAGGTACGTCGTGCGTTCTTGCGGCACCAGCTCCCCAAGTGTCGCCTTCGCATACATGTTCAACGGGATCGATATGCTAACGACTGGAGCAGACCCGGGAAGCTGCTATAGGTCATTTCCACCACAGGTTCAATTGTCAACCACGGAAACCGTCAGACCCGGCGACGTTCTGTTTGTCAATGGGAATTGGGATTTGAGGCGAGAATAACCTAGCTTTAAGCTTAGCTATCTTGAACTGTCGTGTTGTCGTCACACCGGAACAAAGTCACATGACATACGCACTCGCCATCATGATGATGATTATGCCGTGATGTCATTCTATAAAACACTGATATTAGCACTGAATACTGTGAATGTGGTGTCAGACTTGTAACACAGTCATTCGTAAGCTACACTAAGTAACGGAGAGGCTGGATTGTCGGTGTGTCGGAGCACAGGCTGTGATGGTGTTAGAAAGTAGCCAGCTGTACCCGGGCGGGAAGTCGACCAGGTGACATCTCAAAACACCATTCAAAAATTAACCACGGAATATCGTATTTCCGATTGATTCATGATATATGTTGTAATAATGGACGTGTGCTCATGAAAAGAATTACAAAAAAAAAATGTCACATGATTAATCGATCAGTTGATTTATTGATTGATTAATTATACATTTATATCATATATTATCAATTTGATCACAGTGTTACACTGCTCACGAGCTTAGGCGTATTTGGAATTTATTATTGTGGCCGGAAGTGTAATCCCGTGTCGTTTGGTATTCTGTGTGGTGGCGGTGGTGCTGGCACTGGAGCTATACGTGTGTACATGTGTAACGGACTTGTAGAGCTCTATGTGGTGGAGGTGGTGGTGGCGGCGGTGAAGAGCTTTAACGGGTCTCCTGTCACGAAATGGGGGTGGCTTGGACACCGAGCTGTCTATCCCCCCTCCACCCCTCACAGTCGCTTTAATCTCCATTCCGATGTTGCACGTGGGGACCGCCGCAGTTGCTGATGGGTATGTGTGTTGCTTGTGACCCTACAACTGTTGTGCAATGTCTAGCTCGTATGCGAAATATATCATAATACCCTAATTATACATGTATCTATATATACGGTATGTATAGCAATATTTATGCTGAATATATAATCTATATATCTGTAAAATGAATAGTTGATTAATTTATGTTTCTTCCTATCGAAATGCCTTATAATAAGTTTTCAAGAATAGTGTTTTATAAATTTACGTATTTTCATGATAGTTTTGATTTTATGTCATAAACAAAAACAATAAATCTTTTTTTTTAAGTTTACAACTTTAAAAAGTTAACAAGATCGTTAACGACAACTTATCAAGGTCTTGAAGAGATTCCTGACAGGACTGCCATTTTTGTGAAATAGCAGCGCCATTTTGGTATTCAAAAAATCCGGAAGTCGTACATAAAAACATTTTTTATAATGAAATATCACATAAACCACATACAGTATTTTGATTATAATTCACAAATACGTGCTTTCAGTAATCTTCTTCTTGATCATATAACGAGATGTCAGACTCATTAACACATTGTAATTCGGTATAGGAGGAAGATAACTAATGTTCGTCCGTAAACACGGTCTTGTGATAACGTTACAGCCTGTATTTTCTGTTAGATTTCCCCCATCCCATGTAAAACAAATATCAGTTCCTAATGATGAAAATTACATGAATTTTATAAATGTAGTCAAGTGATTAACGATGCCCATATCAAATTAATGTTTCTTATTTGGGAGGGACTCTTCTTTGGAACACTTTTGTAGAACTCTTCTTGGAACTCTTTTGTAGAACTCTTTTGGGGAATGTGTAAGATATGACCAATTATACTATTTTGATGAGGTTTTAGTATAATCTTGCTATTATAATTTAAATAATTATAATTTCTGTATGAAAACTGCTTATCTACTGTCCTACGTGTTATAAAAAGTGTACTTAAGTTAATTTAGTGATAAGTTGTGTAAGACAATTGATCAACAATAGTTATAAGTTATGTAACACAATTAACTATAGTTATAAGTCATGTAAGACAATTAACAATAGTTGTAAGTTAAGTAAGACAATAAACTATAGTTATAAGTTATGTAACACAATTAACTATAGTTATAAGTCATGTAAGACAATTAACAATAGTTGTAAGTTAAGTAAGACAATAAACTATAGTTATAAGTTATGTAACACAATTAACTATAGTTATAAGTCATGTAAGACAATTAACAATAGTTGTAAGTTAAGTAAGACAATAAACTATAGTTATAAGTTATGTAACACAATTAACTATAGTTATAAGTTATGTTAAACTATTAACTATAGTTATAAGTTATGTTAGACTGTTAACTATAGTTATAAGTTATGTTAGACTATTAACTATAGTTATAAGTTATGTTAGACTATTAACTATAGTTAAAAATTATGTTAGACTATTAACTTTAGTTATAAGTTATGTTAGACTATTAACTATATATAGCCACCAGTTATCTAAGACCATTGATAGGCTACAACTATAAGTTTTGTTGATTTGTATCTTTACCATGTTTATTATCATCTTAAAACATAAATAGCTACAAAATGTCGATATGACAGTATCATTAACTTCTACTCCATCGCTACCGTACTGTTACCCCGACTGAAGATAATGTATCAGTATATTCTCTCCAATAAAGATGTCCGTGAATCGTGCTATTTCTATATTTTTTTTCAATTATAGATGTGGCACTAGTACTCCTATCATGTTAAAGAAAAAGTTGTAGACATGTAGCGTGCAATTATAGAAGTGTATGTGTGTAACTAAGCTTTATAGATGTGTAACTAACAATTACATTATATGTAACTAGCAATTACAGTAAATGTAACTAGCAATTACATCAAATGTAACTAACAATTACATTAAATTTACTAACAATTACATTAAATGTTACTAACAATTACATTATATGTACATAACAATTACATTAAATGTAACTAACAATTACATTATATGTACATAACAATTACATTAAATGTTGCTAACAATTACATTTTATGTACATAGCAATTACATTATAGTTTATGCAACTAGTAATTACATTTAATGTCATTGGCTATTACATAATATGTAACTAGCACTTACATTATATGTAATTAGCAATTACAGTACATTTAACTAACAATTACATTAAATGTAATTAGCAATTATATTATATGGAAGTGCCAATTACATTACATGTAACTTTATTATGTATAACTAGCAATTACATATGTTTAATCAACAATTATGCGCACTTTGCACCGATTATGTTATTTTTTCTGTATATGGTAGTGTAGTTGTATGCACCTATTGGTCACATATAGGGAAATGGTTTATATACATACATATATGGAGTTCATTCAATGTGTTCAAGAGACACATTTATGTTTGTATTGACACTATATAATATATTTTCAGATTTCGTCTCAACAGATAGCATGAATACGTCCTCCCTATTGTCTTGTGTGTGTTACATCCTTCCTGTACCCATTATATTGGTTGCACTTGTTTATCGACCCTACGACACGATTGTATTGTCTGCCGTGGTTCTGAATATCAATCCATACGCCATATACCTCTTACTTAACAATTTCATGACTCAAAACGCATATATTACTTTTTGTCAATTAAACGAAATTGACTGGTTCGGTTATTATATCTGAACTCGTTAAAGTTATAGATTCATGTATTAATGGGATACAACGTCGATGTCGGATTTTAAGTTCAGATTGTTCATTTTGTGTAAACAATATCTGTACAATTTACGATCAAAACTGAACGATACTTTATCAGTTTAAAACCAGTGGAGATATGACGCGTTTAAAAGTTACTGAGAAAATTTGAATTTCTGTAAAACTGGATTTGGTATGGCGTTAAGTGAAAAAGTTGAGATAACGAAACAGCGATTCGAACAAAATACTTCTTTTGTGTTTCCTCTAACAATAACATACCGCAGGCGTTAAATAATGTACTAAATTATAATCAAAATATTATTTTTCTGTATGTTCACGTGCATGGTGATAGAATTCACGTGCGTGCGATAATTGATATATGAAAGTATATATGATTTCTGTTGACGTCATTGATGATTCCAATAAATTGTTATGTTGACGGGTTGAGGCAATTCCGGCTTAATTGTCTTAATTAAGTCTTACTTTTGGATGAACAGTGTAACTGTAGTCATAGTGGCTATCGATTTTACTGGAACTATCTTGGAAAGTAAAATCTGTGCGGGGTTGCTGGAGTCACGGCCGGGATTATGTTAACTTGTTAACTTCGGTGTTTGTACGATGTATTTGTTATTTATACACAAATAAAAAACTGGACCACTAAGACGCGAAAGATTCAAACAGAGAACTGGACGCTATAAAACGGATACGCGACGGAACTAAGCAACAAATGCACGGATAAAGTCAAATGGTATTTTTACTGGTACATGGGAGTCAAACTATATCAATACTGGTACAGAGGGGTCATACTGTATCAATACTGGTACAGCGGAGTTATACTGTACCAATACTGGTACAGCGGGGTCATACTGTATCAATACTGGTACAGAGGGGTCATACTGTATCAATACTGGTACAGAGGGGTCATACTGTATCATTACGGGGTCCTACTGTATCAATACTGGTACAAAAGGATCATACTGTACCAATACTGGTACAGCGGGGTCATACTGTATCAATACTGGTACAGAGGGGTCATACTGTATCAATACTGGTACAGCGGGGTCATACTGTATCAATACTGGTACAGAGGGGTCATACTGTATCAATACTGGTACAGAGGGTCCTACTGTATCATTACGGGGTCCTACTGTATCAATACTGGTACAAAGGGACCATACTGTATCAATACTGGTACAAAAGGATCATACAGTATCAATACTGGTACAATGGGGTCATACTGTATCAATACTAGTACAAAGGGGCAATACTGTATCAATACGGGTACAGAGGGGTAATACGGTATCAATACTGGTACAAAGGGGCCATACTGTATCAATACTGGTACAGCGGGGTCATACTGTATCAATACTGGTACAGCGGGGTCATACTGTATCAATACTGGTACAGCGGGGGCATACTGTATCGAAACTGTTACAGAGGGGTCATACTGTATCAATACTGGTACAGCGGGTCCTACTGTATCATTACGGGGTCCTACTGTATCAATACTGGTACATAGGGGTTATACTGTATCAATACTGGTACATAGGGGTCATACTGTATCAATACTGGTACATAGGGGTCATACCGTATCAACACTGGTACAAAGGGGCCATACCTTATCAATACTAGTACAAAGGGACCATACTGTATCAATACAAGTACATAGGGGTCATACCGTATCAACACTGGTACAAAAGGATCATACAGTATCAATACTGGTACAAAGTGGTCATACTGTATCAATACTGGTGCAATGGGGCCATACTGTATCAATACTGGTGCAGAGGGGCCATG